TTTGAACTTTGATTTCTTCCTCAACTAAAAAGATAGATTTAAGGAGCAGCAATTTCATCCTATAGTCTTTACTAGTTTTGTTTTCTTTTTTAGTTAAAATAAGGAAGAATGTCATTCACATTGTTCCTATTCCTACACCAAAACTTTGTAACCATAAAAATTAGAGTGATACTGTTAGGAAGACTTACACAGTGATACTGTTAGGAAGACTTCATGGCTAAGGAAGACTTCATGGCTACAACAGATGAATTATTTTCTGCATATAAGAAAGCCATCATTAAATACCTCACATATTTAGAAAGAAGAAATACCCCTTTCACTTCTAAGGGAGGAAAGGAAAAGGTCTAAGGGAAACGCGACAGTGTATAATGTTTCTATATTTTACAAATACAAGGAGAATCAACCTCAATGAAGTTGCATCATTAAAAGTAACTTTTGCCTGTGAAATGTGAGGAACACACCCACCTCTGACACTATGATGAGATGACCTTGACTGAATTCCAGATACCCACCCAGCTGCTCTCTCACACCTTTCCTCTACAGGACAGGAGTGGAGGGGAAGAGAGCAGGTTTCATGGATTGAGATAAAGTTACCTCACAAAAATAAACTTGACTAGGGTAAAATTAAATATATTACCTGTTAAAAATAGAGTAGAATAGTTTAAAACAAAGAAAGAACTAAAATCTACCTTCCTTCTCACCCTTCCTCTCAGGCTCAACATCTCTTCTGTACTCATTTTCTACACTCCCTCTTCTGTCTATGCACAGAAGGGGAATGTCAGGATGCATTTTCTCTCTGCTTCTCCTTCCTCCTCACGTGTTCCCCTGTATCAGAGTGAGGGGTGTCACTCCCATGGGATACAATCCTTCACAAACTGCTCAAGCATGGCTTCTTCCTGCAGGCCACACAGTTCTTCAAGGACTGGCTGAGGATGGGAGCTTTCCATGCAGAAAGACTTTTAAGGAAGATTATTCCAGAGTGGGACCCCCAGGGTCTGGGATTCCTGCCAGGAGCCTGCTCCTGCATGTGCTCTCACAGGCTGCACTTTCCTTCAGAGCACAGGGCCCAGCAGAGGGTCATGCATGGGCACTAAGATGTCCATTTGCTCCACCATGGACCTCCAGGGCTGCAGGGGCACAGCTGCCTCACCTAGGTCTGCACCATGGGCTGAAGGAGAATCCATGCCCTGGCTCCCAGGGAACTCCTCCCCTTCCTGCTTCACAGACCTTGGTGTCTGCAGGGTTGTTTCTCTCACAATGGCTCAACTTTGGCCTCTGGGTTTCCTTTGGAGCCACTTGGAGCTGCTTGTGTCTGGCGTTTGGGAGCTCCTAAGCTTCTCTCACAAACCCCACAGATATATGGGGTTTTTTGCTAACAACATAATAACCTTATCATACTACAGAGAGAAATCAAACTTAAAATAAAACTTATTTCATGCATCCACAAGCTCCACAGTTCAATATTCAGGTCCACTGAATATTCCATTAATGTAACATGTCCATGAACATATTCATTAATTTAATATTTCACAGCTAGCTATTTACCATAATCATTAGAGATAATACAAAAGAATAGTGAATATTCCTCAAAATTAATTTATACGTTTGTTTCAAGGTCATATTCACAGACGAAAGAGAAAACATTTTTACATAAACATCATGTTTTGGGTATTGATTTATACCATCAGGTGGGTTTTTTTCATGCTATCCCTTCCTAGATGAACCAGTTAGATCCATTTAGTATTTCTTACCATGATATCAGTCAAATAATACATCTATTAATTTAAATGGTATTTTCCATTTCAAGAAGTACAATCAATAAAACTGCACAGCAACAATGTCTGATCTGAATTGTTTCATCAATTCTGTTCATCTTGTACAACAGAACTTAACCTTTCAAAAACTGCATGGGGAAGCATTTTAAGCCAACAAACTGCCAGCTAAAAATAATATTAAAGACTCACACTTTTTGAAAGACATAATTAATATTACATTTTAGATTCAGAACTTCAATCTACGTGGTTTACTACCATAAGTGGCAAGAAATTGCACAAATTCTGTGTCCTTTGGAGGTATGTATACATATTAAAGAGCAAGATAACTGTCAGCATGAAACTGTTTAGACAAGAATATAAGGATTTAATTTCTGTGTATCGATACCATGTTTTTAGTACTACTAAAACCATTACTAAATAAAAAAATATTGTTAATGTTTGCTGATATCCTCTACAAGTACAAATCAGCCATATATCAAATAATAACACTGAATATTGTTTTAAACAACCACAATGGATGATCCAAATAATCTCACAAATAGAGGTTTTGGGAAAAAAGTAGGATACTAGGCAACTGCATTTTGCTTTGGGATTCATTCTATGAAAAATTAGCTGTATGTCATGTGCTTACTTGTTGAATAAAGCCAAAATCATACATATAAAGATGGACAAAGACCTTTAAATAGCTGTAGTTTCAATTTTTGCTGACCTAGACATCTAACCATCACCCACATTACAGCACTCATTCTTTTTTACTACTCTAACCCTGCTTATAACGTTATTTTATTTGAACTTCAAGCTACCATCCCAGAAATAAAAGGGTCTTGAACCAGAAGTCAAAGCAATTGTTTTCAGGTTACTTATAATATTAGAGAAAATCAGAAACAGTCTCAGAATTTAGCAAAGTTCAACAAGTGACATTAGAATGTGTCTGCAAAGGAATAGACAGGTTCCATCTAAATTGAGTTAGGATGGAATTCTTGAAAAAGGAACTCTTTCCTTTCTTAACACCTGTTTTGCATTTAATAGCAGCAGCAAGGTAAATTTTCTCATTAAGGGTTTGCCAGAGCACTTTAATCCTGTTGCTCTTTAGTTTTACTCATGTTGTCAATGGGTGTTTTGTGTCATTTTTAGTGGTACCACTTCCTCTCTGCAGCCAGAGGCCAGGAGCCCTGGACACAGTGAGAAGAATGCTTCTGGCAGACTCTGGCAAGGAGATCTGGCTGGAAATGCCTCTGAAGACTGCAAGAGAGCTCAGCCTTGGGGGAAGATGCAGGGCATGGTTCCCAGCCTAAATGGAGAAACACATCACATGCTCAGTTCACAACTCTGGAGGGAAAATGCTCCCATCAAGGTCTTGCCGTGTCCCTCTGAGGCTGGGGCAGGCAGGAGCAATGTCCTTTCCTGTAGATGGGATCAAGAAGTTCTGCTGTTAAGCTGAAAGGGGCCAACAAGAACCTTGTGAAATTTAGCAGTCACAAAGTCCTACACCTGGGAAGGAAGTGTCCCTTGCAATGACATGATGATGTTTTTTCCAAAGCAGCTGCTGCTTAGAGACTGGCTAGGCAATCAGTCTGCTGGTGGTGTTGGTCCCTTCTTCATCACTTGTTTTTTTTTTCCCTTCTTTTCCGTTTTCCCCCTTCCCAGTTATTAATCAGTCTCTATCTCAATCCACAAGTTTTATTTCTCAATTTTGCCCCTCCAATTCTGCCCCCCAAGCCACTGCTGGGGAGCGAATGAGGCTGGGTGGGAGCTTCGCTGCCAGCTGGGGTCAAGCCATCACAAACCCACTGCCCAGAGTAGGTCGTGCAGACCTGGATGTTTTTGAGACCTCACTAGACAAAACCTTGAATAACTCAATCTGACTTCAGAGCTGGTCTTGCTTTGAGCAGGAGGTAGGACTGAAGATCTCATGAGGTCGATTCCAGTCTGACTTGTTCTGTGATTCCATGTTTTGCAGTTGTTTTAAATCAGATGTAGAGGTGCTTTACTAATGGAGAGAGCTGATACTAATAGAGAGAGTTGATCACAGATATCTAATAATTGTCTATGCAACTAATTGTTTTTTAAAACAAAACCAAACACATAAACAAGGCAGCACAGACATACAAGCAAAAGAGATTTGAAATATAGTAATATGCCTAAGCAGATGAGCCTTTTTCTGGCCATATCTCCAACCTCAAGTTACTTGCATTATAGATAAATCAAGAAAATACTGATGTGATATGGTATGATATGATATGATATGCATATGTTACCATAAAATAAATAGCAGTAAAGAAAAGCTAAAACCCGTTGTATGTTATGTAAAATATGTTAGAAAGGTAGGCTTATATGCATGAGCTTTCATTTGCTAATACTCAGTCATGATGGAAACACAAAAATCTTATGATTACATTTAACAGCAGACATCAAGTATAAAACCTCTCTCTCAGTCTTTCCCAAGAGAAATTACCTAGTTACTAAACCCTAAATCTAGCTACTTAGATGCCATTATTCAGCAGCAAATGCACATATATTAGATGAAATGATTTGTTATTCAGGCAAATAAAAAAAAGCTACTGTTTCTCAATATACGACTCATAGCATCAGATATGTATATTTAGTGATTGATTGGTGGGTTTGGGGACCTTTTTGCTTTCTCTTTTTTGAACTTTCAGAGTCTCAATGAAAGTTGGAGCCTTCTGGATTACTATTTAGTCATCAGCATTAAGAACCATAAAATAAAGGAAATATGCTCAGCTAAGGGTCTTTGAATAAATTATCAAGTCATTTTTAGCAGGACAATAAATGAACAGATCTTTGGAGGCACAGAAAAATAAGAATAGGTGCTTCTTTCTCTCCTAAGAAGAGATTTGATGTTGAACAAGACAGGGAAATGATTTGTCTCACAGTTATTTTTTTGCTTTGAAATTCATCAGAACTCTGTAGCTTGCAAAGATCACTTAATCTCTTCTGTTCCTCCCAATCTTCGCTTTTGCTTCCTAGTCTTGTTATACTTGTCATTTCTCCCTGCACCTTTTAAAAATGAACAGAAAATGTTTCCTGTTTCTGTACCCTGCAGAAATTCTAAGCCACTGAGGTCCAATTGCTCAAGTCTGGGATGCAGTAAGGGCTGCTTTGTCTTGTATAATCTTTGCTTTATGGACACTTTTTGACACTTTGAAATAGTAATTTTGGGTGTGAATGTTCCCAAAATAATCCAACTAAGTAATACTACTAGACTAAGTAAAAATAAGCTTATTTTTAACCAAAAGCCTACTTTGTGCATTTTAATGATCTCAATTTAGGTATTTTTTTTTTCATCTCCAGAAGTTCCTGAATTTCTTTTACCTGCATTTTGTGTTTTCTGGTCTCTTCTTCCAAACTTTGTTTTTCTGCTTCTAGTCGCTCTCTCTTTCCCCATTCAGAGGCATTCTCACACCGCATTCTTTCCATCTGGGAAGGTTGAGGGTAGGAGGAAGACAAATTAAAAAAGAAAGAAAAAGAAAGAGGAATAATCTGATTAAAACCCCCTGGTTTTCACTGGGTGAGGCTAATGGCTTCACCTCAGAGTAAGGACGGCACCTTAGAAAACGGCCCAAGGTGTAAGTTTTCCATGTGTCATAAAGTTAAATATTTTATTTTTAAAATAACCAAGACAGTCAATTTCTCATCAAATGTACCTTCAAAAAAGTAAAGCATAGATAATTTTTTATACAGTAACTGGTAACAAAATCCTATTCTTTTCCTGCTATTTCTGGAAGAATAGTATTAAATAATAATAAAATGTTTCAAATAAAACTGAGATTGATTTTGGCTTGACAATGTCAAAGTTCACTTTTTATTCTCTAAAAGACAAAAATCAGCATGTTTTTATTCTGTTTACAATTTAGAAGGATTGCAGTGAATGTTTATTAAACTGAAGAAGTTCTAAAGTATACCTTCAGTACTACATAGAGTTATCCTCATAATCAGAGAAAAGATTTTTAAGTTTTCATGTTAATTTCTTTCTTGTGGTCATGGTTAATAGTCTTAAGTGAAATATTATGTTTTATGGCCAATGCTGTAATGTTATTTTAGGATATCTTAATGAATTTTTTCATCAAATCCTAATATAGGACAAATTAAATATATCAACAAAAAGACACATTACTAAGTCACATATAGTAATTATCAAAGAACTGATTTATTCTTCAGAGACAACTACATAGAGGTTTTTGTCAAGGCTGCATTAAATACTTCTCAGACTTCAAATGAAAATATTGTAAAGTGAATTTATGTTTATAACACAAACCAGGTACTTATCAGGTACTAATGGAAATTTATCAGAAGATTATCGACAAGTGCTCACTGTTAACAAGTTATTATTAACTAGTTCTTAACAGGAGATTTAAAGAGATTAACACAGATTAAAAACTGTGAAAATAAAAGGTTCCAGTTCTTTTGATTGAGGTGGAAAAAATAAGAGAATTGTGAATCTATTAAAAAAAGGTCAAAATTTTAAGAGCTTTTTACAATTTTCAGTTCTGTGAGAACTAAAACTGATTGTCTGATAAAAATGGTGTCTGAAAACATTGTGAGACGCTTCATTGAAGAAACAGGATATTTGTGCCAACAAGGCTTTGGAAAGAGCCATACAGGTGTGCTTTTTAAATTCTATTGGTTACTTTTATTCTAAAATCAATTTCAGGCAAATAATGAAAAGATTCTGAATGTTGAGCGAAGAGAATGAGCTGTTACAGCATAAAAGAAACATAATTCAGATCCCATGAATAGTGACAATGTCATTCTCTAGCTAAATCAAATTGCAAACTTGTCTGTTCCCCCCTTATTTCTGAGTAAATAAAAACAATTAGAAACCAAATAAAGTTAAAGAAGCTCATTCAGATTATCAGAAGACAGTAAAAGGGATTGTTCCACTCTGCTCTGTATTGGTGTTGCCTCGCCTTGAGCACTGTCTGCAGTTTTGGGCACAGGTCATCAAAGCATTTGAGTGTGTCCAGAGTGATAGACTACAAGTTGCTAACTCCAACACACAAGTAAATGTTTGATGCTCACATGTTCCCAATGAGGTCTTTAGAACCTATCCACTGAATTTCTGTATAATAGTTGGAAACTAAGGAATCACATACCCCCATTTAGCAGCAAATATTATTTCTTCCCCATCAAAGTTATGCAAATTGTTTGAATACTTTCTACTGGACTACAATCACAAGCCTCATATTTTTCCCTAAATAAATATGCAGGCATATTTATTATTACAAGTATCCATGAAAGTTCCAGAACATGAAAACCCTGTCTTCTTGCAAAGTGCCTGCCAAAATACACAGCTGAAATTCTAAGTCTGAAATTTCACCTTTTCACAGTGTTGACACTAATCAATACAAATTCATTTTTGTCAGACATCAAATAGAGAGAAATCACAAAACCATACAAGATTGAATTTCATCAAGAAATTAAGCAGAAGATGACTATCACATGAAGATCTGATGTCAAAGATAAATTTATTTACCTATGTCTGTAAAATTTTAATTCATTGCAGCCAAGATATAACTATGATAAATTTACATATTTAACAGTCCTGATTTCAGCTGGGATAGGAGTTCATTTTCTCCCTAGTAGCTGGTATACAGTGCTATGTTCTGAATTTAGTATGAGAATAATGTTGATAACAGAGGGAAATTTCCATTGTTACTGAGCAGTGCTTACACTGAGTCAAGGCATTTTAATCTTCTTATACTGCCCTGTGAGCAAGGAGGCTCGGGCTGCACAAGAATCTGGGAGTGGACAGCTAAGCCAAAGCAGCCATAGGGATATTCCATTCTATACAATGCTCTTGTGTGAAACTCCAAATTCTGATTTATAACGAAAAGTAAAAGCTTAAGAAAAAATTTGCGACATGTGAAAAAATCTTGAGATCTTTAATTTTCCCTTAAAATGCAAATATTTTCTCTCCATAAAATATCTGTGCAGACTTGCACTGAATTTTACTTTTAATAGCAAGACCAGAATAATGGTGGAAGCATAGAATGAGGTCAAGGTAGTGTGAATGAAGTGGATAATTGCAACGGTGAGCGGTGGAAATGAAGTACAGAGTACTGACCTTTTGAAACTGGATAATTACATCTTAGAGCTAGCCCACACCATTTCATGAATAACATGAAAGGCAGAACCCTGAAAAAAACAGACACAGAAAAAGGAACTCCACCTTGCACAGTTCATTAGCAGGAAAATCTTAATGCTCTTGTTTAGTTTAGTTTTAGTTCCAAAAGTTTTATTGAAACAAGATATTTTTCTCCTTCCCCTTAGTTAAGAAAAGATAGAGTAGGATGAAGGGCAACAATTAAGGTGCAATGAAGGCAAAAAGAAAGATGATGAAGATGAAATCTAGAAGTCAACACAATTTCAGACAGTAAACAGAAGAAATTCCATACACCCTTCTGCTTTTTTTTTTTTTTTTTTTTTTTTTTTTTAGTGCAAAGATTTGTTAGCTTTCTATAAAACTTGGAAAAGGTCAGAAAATGTATTTAGAGAACTGTGATCTTCAGCTTTTTAAAAGAAGCTTTTAAAATAGAGTTGGACAGAACACAAGCATTATGTTAAGAAAATTAAAACCTGTAGTTTTGATCTGATCTGACTTGACAGTGATGTCAGAAATAAAAAACTGCCAATCCAAGCAGAAATTCTCCCTGCAAAATTTTTATTCTACACAACTGTCATTTTCTTTACCAAAAGCATGTTCTGTGAAAGATAATCTGCATATCTCAAATAAAAACTGATTTGACTGAGAATAGAAGAGTTTTATTTTTTTCTTTTTTAAATTTTCAATCTGAATCTTACACAACCACAGCAAATCATTAGCTTCTAGTGCTACCTGTCTTTATACTCAGAGCCTATAGGCAAGCTGAATGAGGCCTACAGACTTGTGATCCAGAGAGGGAAGAACTCCTGTTTAAAATAGTGACCTCGGGCAGCCTCACTCAAGTGCAAATGTAAAACATCTGCTTCACTTTGTGCAGGTCAAAAATTAAAATTTTAAACCAATATGCTTTTTTTTTTTTTTTGTCCTTAAAATAACAATGCAGGGCTTTTTTCATGTTGCAAAGCAAGATAAATGAACACATATTTTCAGGATTCTTGATATCTTCACTGTATTGTGCATGGAGCTAATTTCCATTCATCTATGCTGCAAATTATCCTACAGAATTTAAGCAAGAGGTATATTACACAGAAAACTTAATAAGCCACAGGCTGATTATGAATTAAGGACCATGACACCCTCCTAATAAAGAAAGCTTATTGAAATAATCATAAGTCTTCATAAAGTCACAAATGAATTTGATTCTTACAGATTTCTTCCCCACAGTTACTCAGAAAACTCAACACAAGAAGCAAATTTTTCTTTTCTGTAACTCAGACAGGAATACTGTCTCTCAAAAAATGTCATATCCAACAGTCTTTTCAGAGCCAAGAACTCAAAAATTGTGCAGTTTTGTCAACCATCATTCAAATGATTGCACATCGATAAGAAATGCAAGGACAGAGCATCCACCCTTTCACAGTGGTAATTTATGAGATGTCATCAACTTCCGAAGTATGTAATGTACTTCAGCTGCTCGAAGGAATGGCAAACATGCAGCTTCCTTAAATATGGCATCAAGGTAGATTGGATCAAATGAGTTGAAAGCAAGCTTTGCTTAAATATCAAGCAAACATCAAGCAGAAGCCTCACATTCCTTCATTGAATTCATTATGAAACGTCATTACAATTTGTAACACAGTTGTACGGGTTCTGAAGGTATTTTATCAATGGTTTAAAAGGAATGGCATCAAGTGCTTAAAGAGAGTCTCTCAGCACAACTGGGAGAAAAAACTTCTGGGTTGCAGGATCAGGAAAAAACTCATGCAGCCAGAAGCATCATCAAAGAGTTATGCAAGAGAAGAAAATACTTATGTTGATGAATCTGGTTCTCTTAAATCACTTCCAGTTTTAGTTCAGCTGTATCTACAGAACTTGGAAGATACACCATGGTTCCCTTCCACTGCTCACCTCCATTTGAGAAAGTTGTAAGAGGAAGATGCACTTCTCATAGCAAGACAATCATGTGCAACTGGATAGAAAACAATTCCAAGAATCTTTGTTACTTGCAAAGTAACCTCTATTTTGTTGAGGTATAGGGGAGGGAGTCTGTTCTGTTTTCTTTTGTTTTCTGAGATTTCTACAGCTAGAAGTCTGTAAGAACATGAGGAAAACTGCCAAAGCTCCTGAGGTCCTAAAGAAAACTCATCAGGTTTCCTGTTTCCAAGATCAGGACTGCTGTATGCAGGTGTGATGTTTGCTGGCAAGCAAAATTATTACTTAGCATGTGTGACACTGGGTAGTTTTGCAATGAATTATTTCCAGTAGGTCTGGCATTTTCTAGAATTCTTTTCTTTTTTCACCTGAAATGTGCAAA